CTGCTATCGGAGACAAGATCCCACTGGAATTATGGAAAGGTAAGGGATGTGACATCCAAGGGGAGATTAACAGACTGAGAGTGTTTGGATGCAGAGTCTGGTACCTGAGGAGTCCAAGCGGAGGAAAATTCGACAGCAGGGCAGATGAGGGGATATTTGTAGGATACGACAGACAGGTCAAAGGCTATAGGATTTACCTGCCGAAGACCAAGAAAGTGATAATATCCTGTCATGTCAGGCTCGAGGAGAACACGTTTCCCTACAAGAATGCTAAGATGGAGACGAGCAATATAAAAAGTAGGTCCTCAGAATAGATATGGGATGTAGAAGACTTTGAACTTGGAAGGGGAGTTGGTCAAACTGACGTCGAAACACAAAGTGATGGCGAAAACGATGAAGGGGAGTCTGACTACTTCATGGATAATTTAACGAGTGAGAATAGGGGGGGGGGGGGGGCTGTGAGTGTACCGATTGTGCCCAGGAGGTCGGCAAGATTACATAAACCAAAGATATGTGATAGTTGTGCTCATACTGCAAAACTCAAAGCATGTGTGTACCTGTGAATGTGTACGAAGCCCTGCGGGGGTCAGATAATATATATCTAATGTATGTCGCCACTGTCGCCCTAATGTCACGTGTGCAATAGGAAAACTAAGCCAAAGATATGCAAATCCAACTGTATCCGATTGGAAAGCAGTGAGGCGGATCTTCAAGTACCTGTTGAAAACCAAAGACTTAAAGCTAGTATATCAAAGGACAGGACAACCTTTAAAGGTGTTTTGCGATTCGGATTTTGCAGGCTATACGGTAGATAGGAAATCCAGGAGCGGGTATGTTTTCATATTCGCTGGTGGTGCAATATCCTGGTTGTCTAGGAAACAACCAATCATAGCTTAATCGACGTGTGAAGGGAAGTTCGTGGCGATGCAGGAAGCAGCAAGAGAAACTGTGTGGATTTCCTTATTGTTAAGGAAGTTGGGTCAATTGTCATATTGCCCTCGCCCTTGCAAGATTTTCTGTGATAATATCGGGGCCATTTCATGGTCAAATGATGAAAGTTGCCGAAAGTTCTAAGCACTTCCAAGTGCGTTACTTTTATGTTAAGAACTGCGTGTTGGAGGGAATATTAGATTATACATGTATACGTAGTCCCGAGAATGTCGCTGACATTCTTACCAAAGGCTTAAATAGAGTTAAGACTCAGTATTTTACCAAAGCTATGGGGCTTGTAGAAACTACGATCAAAGGGGAGTGTTGAGAAATGTTAGGTTGGTATGATTACTAGTTACTACAAGCTAAGTTGGTACGACTTCTAACGATGCTCTTTTGTCTTAGAAGTCGACCACGTGTTAATTGACCAAGTGTATTCTGTGAGTTAAGACGTGTTGTACGAGGCGGAGAAATATATGGAATAAATCGAATCTGTGTAAATCGATTAATTATCAACCCCAAACCCACATCAATTAACAAGTTTGGGAGTAGTTGTAACATGACTGTTGTACTTGTTGCCTTAGTACTGTGTTTAGCTCACTTGTGTTTACCATTTTTCCTAGTATCTCCGTACTTTTAATGGATTGTTTGAGCATTTGTTTGATTTCTGTATCGTCTTCGATTTTGTTGCTTTGATTTTGATTGATTGTAAGCGTTGCTTGTCTAATGTTTTGGGTTACTTACGCATAGCTTCGATTACCTTGGGGATCTATGTTTCTGCTTATAGCTTTTGGTTCATATTGTGCTTTCAATGTTGTTTCATTATCCGTTATACTTTGTTGTGGTTGGTAGTTATCGATTGATCTATTGCGAAGTGGTGGAAACAGTTTACGTTGTAATTGTTTCCTGATTTCACATTCTTTATAGCTGGCTGGTTCCCGTTACAATGATAACATCTAACTTCTTTCATTTTTCTTGTATATGGGCAGTGTATTGTTAAGTGATTTTTTGTACATTTAACACATGCCGGGCTTCTGTTACAATAATTTTTTGTGTGACCGTATTGTTGGCACCGCATGCGTTGTGGTATATCTTTTTTGTAGCGTGATGGTTTCACTGTTACTATTGTGTTTAGAATTTTTTTGATTTCATAGATTTCCTTGTTATTGGTTCTGGGTTCAACTTCTATTAAGAATAATGGTAATGGTTGCTTCGTATCGTATCTTGTCATATTGTTTATTGCTCTTGTTTGATGGCCAATTTTTGCTAATTCATCACTTAATTTTTTTGTGTTAATTTTTGGATGTAATCCTCTTATAATTATTTTGTAACTCCTTTCCGTTTTGAGCTGGAACGTGTGGTATATAGCATTTTTTTCCTTTAATTCTTTTATCACTTTCCTATAATTTTCTGGGGTGTTTGTTTGAATTTTTATTTGTTCCAATTTTGCTTGTTTTATTGTGTAATTTTCCTCCCCAACTATATTGTTTAGTCGATCAATAAGCGGGTCTATTATCTGGGCCTCAACAAATATTGGTGGTGGTTTTGTAATGTGTGTTGATTGAGTTGTGGTTTTGCTTGTTGGGTCATCGTCTATTTCTTCCGTTAGTGAGCTAAAGAGGTTTCTTAATGGTAATTTTTGCAGCCATCGCTGCTTTTCTGTATCTAGATTTCCTGCGGCACTTGTGCTTGGAATTATTTTACGTTTTTGGCTAGTCTTTGCTAGCTTCCAGTTTTCGTTCTGGTAACATCTTTCGTTATCGTGGCTGCACTCCTCCTGTCTCCACTGCTCTTTCATTTTTTCTGTAGGCATATCGTTTTGATTGTTGTTATTTTGCTGCTGTTGCTTTAAGCCTGGTTTATATAATACTTACCCGTTTATATAATACTTTTCTCTTTTGATTGCAATCTTGATTGTTGGTATCTGCTGCTGCATTGTTTGACTTCCCCTCACTAGCACTATTCGTAACACTTCTCTGAATCACTTCACTAGAGCGCACGATTGTTTACACGCGTCTGTTCGTCTCGGTTGCCCGAGCCCGAATGATTTGAAAAAGGTGCCATAAGATTTATAGAAATATAAATTTAGCATTTGGGTAAGGTTAAGGACATTCCCAATTTCACTTTAGCAATATTTTAATGCATAAATTATTCTAAAGGAATGTATGACTGAAGAAATTAGAACAATTAAAATACCAAACATCAAAATAGTCGTTGAAAAAATATATTGAGTGATATGGAAATTACTTTAATTAGATATACGATATTTGGATGGTATTACGTGCAATTAAAGTTCCACTGCGTAAAACAACATCCGATACGTATTTAAAACTTCAGAATTAACAAAGCTATACTTATTTCCAAAATTTTTGATGTAGGAAATAAATATAAAGGAATACAACATAAAAGATATCTTATAATCCTGATAAAAAACGAATAAACAAAGTATATAATAATAAGTAGACAGTAGATTTTTATGCAAATTTATATTTTTAAGAATGCAATTTGAAGAAGTTAGAAGAAGTAACATCTATAAATTTTTCTTAAAGGAATAAAAATCTGCATTTAATAACGAGAAATGACATACCTGCGATTCGTTACAAATTTTTCAAATAATTGCCCCTCAGTAGGAAATTTGGAATCCAAGAACAACTTTACGCGTTCCCAAATATTTGCACGATTATGAATTCTCAACCAATACCGTGGAACCAAAAAACATCTTACGGATGAAGTAGCTACTATTCTTCGATTAACCATATTTTCTCCTAATTCATAGGTAACAATTTTATTATAGAAATAATTTTTGTTAAGAAAATTCTTAGACAAGTAAATTTAGCAAAATATTACCTAAGCCGAAACACGCACCCCTGTTAAACGTACAAACTTGCATAAATATTGTACGTACGTCAGTCGGATAACGTTGCTGAGAGGTTGATGAAGGTTCTCTCATTAACATTTCTGCTACATCCGTAATTTTTTGCCATTCATTGATCTGTAGATTTATATGTTGTCAAAATCAATGTCCAACTTACAAATTTTCTATTTACAGTCAGTCGTGGTACTTACATATCAATAAAATTACTAAATTTCTAAAAAGAAATTAAAAAATTAAAACAAAATTTATAAAAATTTTGACATAAAATTACGTTAGAAATGACAAAACCATAAATTTTTCCAATGCTAATATATTTTACTTCTAGTATTTTATATCTTTTCACTTTCTTTTTCTTAATAAAGAAGATGAAAGTAGTTAAAGTACGTTATATTTAAAGAACGTACGAACATAGATTTTGGTAACTGACTGTACTTACATTCAACTTCCTTGCTTGCATTCTTTGTCTTAAATAATATGAAGATGTAATAATATTTGCCAGTGTCGTACTTACGACGTCTAATAATGTAGTTGTAATGACGCTTGAACGTTCAAAATCCATTCTCTTATCAGTTGCTTTCGATGATAGTAAGAGCTGTGCATAATCTATGAAATCTCGACTTCCGTCGATAGCATCGTCTATGCCATTTGCCTTTAGAATTAGGTGAAAAGTTATAGTATGAAATACATTCGGTATTATTGTATATATATTATTACATTATACAGAAGTCCGATTTTAATCTACAAATGCGAAGTACTGATAAATTATCTACTATAAGAAAAGAATGTTTTGACAGGAATTAAATCTTTAATAGTCTTCTTATAGTAGGCTGTAGAACTAAAATACAAGTAAATAAAATAAGAATAAAATAAAAAATACAAAATTTAGTCCTATTCCCCATATATTATTACAAATTACATTTATCACTATTATTATTATTAGGTATCATAAGTATATAAAACATACTTTGGTAGTTTCATATTCGTATTCCAATTCGTTCATCTTTGTAGCCATTTCTAAGCTCCTTAATAATCTGGGTTCCTTCTTTGCATTATCCTTTTCAGGATCGTATAATTCGTATTCAGTTCCATAAACAGAATGTGTTTTACGAACAATCATGTGTTCTATCAGACGACATTCACCTTCTAATAGGAAATGGACATGATTCACCATTCCTTTACCATCACCTAACAAAACCTTAAATAATTATTTTGTCATTCCATTTACACTTATTCCGCTTCAATAGTATTAGTATAGTATTCAATAGTATTTGGCCTCGTTTTAATCAGAAAAATATCACTAGTACGATAATGAAATCTTTATTACGGAAGAACTGGAAATACAAAACTTCGTTGTTGTATTAGCATCGTCCCATCGCGAGCACTTATGAAGTATTTAGTTACTAATGTAATATAACAAATGTAAGAATACGTAATTTTCGTTTTTCTGTGATATTAATACTATGAGTATTATTTTATGCAATGTAATTTTATACCTCATCAGGTTGAAAATCCTTTAATTTACTGAGTATACAACATTCTCGTATTGTTTCTTCGTCCCAACATTTAAAATAATTGAAATGTATTAACGCATCCTGCAATATGTCCCACTCTTTTTTTAAAGAAGACCGCAAAACGTCATCGAATTCCAAGCGAGGAATGCGGATCAAATCTACTGCGGCTATAAGCAAAACAAGATTATGTTTCTTACATATAATATTTTTGTATATTTTGCATATTTTTACAATCTCAGTTACTCTGCTATAAAGCAATATATCTGCGTTACTTTCAGTAACACGAGAAAACGCTTTAAGAACGATTTGTTTGACTCAAGAGGACAGCTTATTATAATGCGAAACATTCTTTCTTCATGGTCACATTTTTCGAGATTTAAATATTTTCGTAACTTACTTTTTAATGAAACCTTATATATTTCCGTATATCAGTTGTTAAAAACTGGCGATAAATTTTCACTGATTACAGCAGTACACCCAGTATATATCGCTTAAAGTTAGAGGTTTATCAAATTTAGTTCCTTAATCTTCGTACAAACTCTAACTTTATCTAACTTTAAGGGGAATAGACTGAAATACTACGCCACATACGCACTATTGTTCGTGCAGGCAGGATAGCCTGCTACGAAAGGAGGAGAAATTGCTATTTTTGGGTGTCAACGTGACGCAGTTAGAAAACGCTGTGGCTACGGAAACAGACAGTAGAGGAGAGGGGCGCATAAAGGCATAGTGACTACCTCATTCTCGAGCAAATAGTTATCGACGAATTAGCAACTTTAGTCTCATCCATCAAAATCAAAGTTCATTGTCCGCTACCTAACTATCTGCAGTTGTACAAGACTTCCTCGTTGAACGGTACGGCATATTTTTGTCTCGATTATTGAAGGTTATCCTTTTCCGTTGCACAAAATGGTTGTTACATGTTCATCAATCCGAATCCAGCAAAATTGTTAGACTCGCGATTTCTCCTATTTTCACTGTGTTGGACACACCGCCATAGAATTTAGGTCTTTGACGTTTTTAAAAGTCGCGTTCGCTTCCCAGTTCACCTAACACTTATAGATACGTTTTTTATACCCTATATAACAATCTATATATCTTTTCTATATATAATATATATTATATAATACTAATCTTAAATTAAGTATTTTAGGATACAAATACTTTAACACTTTTGTATAGAAAATGAAAAAACGTATCGAATAATATATCAAAAGGTATAAGATTCAATTTTGAAAAGTTACGGAAACATCTAAATCTCGAAAAATATAATCATAAAAGAAATATTTCGTGTTATAATATTTGTCTCTTGGAAGCAAGCAATTCATTCCTTAAACATTTCTTCGTATCATCAAAAGCAACGAGATATTGCTTTGTAACAAAATTACTGAGATGTATAATGTGGATCTGTTTTATTTTATTTATGCTTTATATTTTCACAAATTCAACTGAAGAAGCAGAACTTGAAGAGAGATCCATTTTACCTATTAAAAATTATAACTTTGGATATTTTATATATTTTTGTACATTATATGTGAGGTGGATAAGTCGTGATAGGTGCAGAAGGAACACTTGAGTATTGTTAGCAATATATATTTATTAACATATTACTTAAACTACTCCATCTGTTACGCTGGGCGACCCTCTGCCTGGCCCAGGTCACACACCGCGGGCCAGACCGACACCAGATGTCCGCTCTTCTATACGGCATACCCTCAATAGCCTTAAGTATCTTCCATAAATCTCAGGAATTTCCTAGTAGAGGTCCTTCAAACCAAAGGCTTAACAAGGGAAAGTTAGTTTTTCTCACGTATGCTGCAACTTTCCTCCCACTAACCACTTTCTCTCGAGGGCGGTGAAGACCCTTCGTTTAACCAATTAACAACGAAGCCTATTCCCTCACTCGCCTAACTAAAATCGTCACCAACAAATCCGACGGTCCCGTGCGCTAGACACACCCATCCTAAGCTTTCCTCCGACGCAGCATCGTCACTCAACTTCACTTCTTCTACATCGTTGGAAAAGTCAACTACTAAATCTAACGCTAATGCCTATCGGGGTAGTCTAAGCATAACGCGAGAGTCGGTCTCGTTATTGTCGAGCATACATTTCCTCTCCTAAAAATCTTATAGTGCTACGTCCACTAATACACTAAATCTAATTATAAGAGCCCTGCTCTAACGTACATATCTATCTTATCTTCGTGCGATAAGTGATTATATATCTATCTATCTTCATCAGTGTAATCTAAGTGTTGGAAATATATAATTTATAATTCTGTGAATCACAGTGTTATACAAACTCAATCACCCCTTATTATCTCAACGGAAATCAGGGGATCGATCGATTCGTGGTGTCGATTGTTATAATCGTAACGGGGATTTACGACCCCCGTTGACGTCTCTCTTAGCGACTGCGTCTCCCCGCGATTGGTCGAACAAACACCGTATATGTACACTTTACGTAGAACTCGCGATTACTATTAGCGGTTCGTGGGATTACAAGTTTGAATGATGATTGCTTAAGATGTCGAGAAACTCGGATCAATTATTTCTGCTAACTACCAACTAGCAACTCGGACTGACGTCCAACGACTGATTTTCCGTCACGATGATGCTGCAGAGGAAAACTATGATGGGGTGTGTCTAAGGATACGAGATCAGAAGATTCGTCGAGGAAAGCCTTCGTTCAGAAAGTAAGGGAAATGGACGTTGCTGTTAATTGGTTAATTTCTATGTTGGTGGTTGAGGAAGGATGCTAACCGCCCTTGAGAGAAAGTTGCTAGCGGGAAGCATCGTGAGAAAAGCAGATTTCTCGTATCTTCCCGTAGTAGGTGATAGACTTAGGGACTGGTGAGACAAAAGCTATTTGTCCGTTCGAAAAACCTATTGAGGTAAATGTTAGATTCGTGTGATCACTAGTTTCTACATGTACCTAGAGTTGGTACGGTTACTAACGACGCTCTTTCGTTTGCGCGTCCGCCACGTGTTAATTATCAGAGAGTATCCGGTGTGTTGTAATGGCTGTACATGGTGGTGAAATACAGAATACATATATACAAAATTAAATCTGTGTGGATCAATTAAATATCGAACCTCAAAACGTATTCAATAACAGGTTATGAACCCAGGACGGCGAACTGTGCTTTTAAAGATATTTATTTGTCGAGTTTTGTTTCTGTGAATATCCGAGAAAAGGCCACACCATGGCCTATCAGGACAAGATGAGCGATGTGGACAAGGACATGAATCCAATTCTCAATAAGGATAACTGTATGAATACTAGAAGACGATGACGGAAGCTTCTATGGTTTTCCTGGGTTGCTGGGATGCGGTGGATTCAGGATTGACTGCAGCAGAAAGGATGAGACCTGAGTACGTCAAACTGGATAGCAAGGCGCGTGCATTTTCCGGCACGTACACCCCGAGTATCTCACGGACATCAGCGGTCTGAAAACGGCGAAGGAGTGCTGGAAAGGACTGGAAGAGATCCATGGGAGATCCACATCGATGTACATTGCCTTGTGCCTGCGGGAACTGGGCACTATCGAGAAGACGCCCAGCATGGATATTTCTGTGTACTGTAGGAAAATCCAAGTTCTGTGTGACAAGTTGTCTAAAGTCGGTATTAAATTTGAAGATCACGTTGTGGAGTCTTTCATTTTGGCTGGACTTGTGACAGATCCAGATTATTCAACGTAGCCAACGCCCTAGCCGCGCTGAGTGCACTCGTTCCCGTCAGATCACGAAAGTTAAGCAGCGCTGGGCACGGATAGTACTTGGATGGGTGTCGCCT